AGGGTGAAGTCTAGACATTTAGTACAGAACCACACCGTTTGTTTTCTTGTTCTGACTATTTGTTTAATTTTCTTCCAAGTTGACGTGACTCATGCATCTGTCGTACTTTGAAACAACGGCTGATTGAGAAACCGCAACTTTCATTTTAGGTTCCTCACACCACCATACGTAGGTTCTCTGCATAATCACTTGTAGTTTCATCCTCACTCATAGGAGAAGGAAGTCCACGTTCTTCTTCCTCTTCTAACTCCGAGAGAGCCGCATTACATTCATTTAGCAAAAAGTGATCTCTTGATAAGTCATGAACCTGTCTGTTGAGTGCAAACGAAAGAATGTTCTACACACGTTCATTAGTAGGCGCGAGTAGTGAGTAAGCCACCGGGAGGCCACCAGTAGGCCACCAGTAAGTCACCAGAAGGTCGCTAGTAGGCTGCTAAGAGGTGGCTTATAGTGTACTAGAACGTACACGCGCGTTCTAATAGTCCTCTTTCTGTTTGTAAACAGTGTGACGTCACTGCGGGCACACCGCACACCATACCCACCCTTGGAGCAGGTGCTGGTTGGCAAGAAAGTTCCGGCGGCGCCATCTTTCTGCATAGCAGAGCTGCGTCTCTGCATTTCTTGGACAGGAATTTCTACAGTGCTGCGTTCTAAAGTCAGCTCTTTAAAGAAGGTGGTCGCGGAAGGGTCACTGCTCATAGTGTTAGAATTTGCTCGTCGTAGATTGATGAATGGATAAACTTTACTTAGAGTACTCAGAGATGCGACTAGCACGCAGTGGTCTTCACCCACGTATGTGACAGCCTTAAAAAATCTGTGATCTTTTTTTTTGAAGTCTATTTCTTTCTGTTACAGAAAGAGGAGTAAGAGCCAAAGGCCGTATTGTCTGACAGAGGCTCCTACTCCCATGCGCATTCGGCATGCGTGTACATGTTTGCATGCGATGCAAGTATACAAACAATAGAGCAACCAGAAAAATCAAAAGAAGCCTGTACATAATTGTCACTGCAAATAAAGCATTACAGATAGACATCATACATGAAAAACTCTTCATAAAAACAAACATATCATACAGACACTGCAAGATTAAATACATATACGCATTAAATTGTGAACTTTCAAATTGTAGAACAAACTGTATATGCGGTACACGTAGAAAATTAGACAGATATATTTTATTGATAAGTTATCGTGGAATGTACCAGAAAGTTCTTTATAAATTTTTGAAAGCGGGGTGCATGAAAATCTATATGATGTTCAACAATGATCAATAGCCAAGGTACTTGATACTCAAGGTCCTGACGCCCGTAATTAGTTCGCATAAGTGGTGGCATTCTCGTTTTGAAAGCGAACGTTTTGAATGAACGTGGTGACTAATACTTTGAAAAATATTTTCATGGCAGGATGCAAACTTAATAACTTTCAATCGTGGCATGTGCAATGCAGTTTTAAACGACGTACAGCATTGGCGACAGCGTGGTTTTGATCTGCTGTGCGTGACGTCTCGGATAAAATTCTCACTCATTGCGCAAAATTCTGATCAGAGATGAGTGACAAAAAAGAAGTACTTCTTGTTATGCGTTAGGCTGAGGTTAACGCATAACATATCCTCGTGAAAATTGAAGTGAAATTCTGCCGCTGCGTTTCTCAATAACCCAGTGAAAATTCAAGTGATGTGAAACCCGACCACCTAATTATTATCTGGCACAATTACCTATAACGTGTTTGTGACACCTATAACGTGGTTTTGTACCTATATTGCTCCTTTAGGCTTGATACATAAAATTCTAATGCACTTTGTCACTTTATAAGGATCTAGCCGTAGAAGTACAAAGCAGATAAGAAACGAAAATCTGCGCTCTTTCCAATAACACGTATGAGGTATCCGATATTACGAGTTTTAGCCGTCGTGAAGCGTATATGCAGATTCGGAAACGCTACAACATGCTTATAGCTCATGCGTAGTCGTATATATCACCCGGAGATCATGCACTTTTATTTTTCTGCATACCTTGCATACGTTGGGATGTACCCACTTGCAGATGATCGCGTCAAATGCACTCTTACCTTGACTAAAATGTCGGATTGTGAAGTTCCATCGACAACCGGTTACTGCAACCAGCCACAACGAATACTGCTGTTTTCGAAAATAAGACGCATCCCGTTATTCACACTGCGCACACCACGCACAATATTCTCGGTTTCATTGTCCGTAAAGGTAAACCAATATTGTCGACCCCTGTCAACGCACACTACATGCCACAGTAAACACTGCACATTTTCGAAGACGATGCCGCTGTTCTTTGCGCAGAGCGCCACGTGTGTTCCTTTTCCGAAATAAACAGCCAGCCAGCGTGGCGAAATTTCATCACGCACTTTGCCTCACCTAGATGTTCTCTGAAACACACCGCAGCTAATGTTGCCACTGTGAAATGAAGATTAAGCTTTAAAAAAGAAAGAAAAAAGTCAAAGCGTTGCCGCAAAGTTGAAGCAAAGAACGCGATAGCAATAATTTAAAAGGTCACTCACAGAATGGAAAGCAGATTGAAACTTGCCCCGCACTTCTCGCGCACAAATTAAGCACGAAATGTACTCACAGGTGCGGATGCCGGCGCATAAGGGTCCCATTTGTTACTTCGCTGAGTCTGAGAAGCGCACAAATTTCGCCAAGGTAGACTGAAATGATTGCAGTGACCTCTGTGCGCCCGGTAACTACAGCAGAATCGTTCCACGTAAAGCCCGAAGCCAGCCAAAGCGTACGATCCTCCTCTTCTCAGCCGCGCGAGATAAAGGCGCACGAGGAAGCATCGCTCCCTTTCTCTTAGCCGGGCAAAGTACGCGTAGGAGATTAGAGCGGGAGCCGCTGTGCGATGCCACGGCGTGCGCTCATTGCGCCATCTTTCTGGTAATGCCAAAAACACAGTAGCGGTAAGTGTTAGATATAAATAGCTTGCTGTTTACCTGGTGAAGAACGTTCTTTGAGTGGCTCAGTGGTAAATGCCTTATTTTCGCGACACAGAGGTCCTACATTCGATTGCGAGCACCGTAGTGCTTTTTGTAGATTTTTTCTTTCATACATTTTCATATATATATATATATATATATATATATATATATATATATATATATATATATATATATATATATATATATATATATATATATGGTGATGACATCGATGCCGACGCTGGCGGCAAAATCCAGCCGAAAGTGTCCATATAATTGCTATCGCAATAAAACTTGCCACTGCACCACACTCAGCCACCGGCTAGAGTGTTTTGCTGACCACTACCTTGCACGTGCACCGGTGACGTCACGCTGTGACGCACCCCGCTAGAGGTCTATTAACTTTAGCCAACCTTGGCACAGGGTCTGTGTGTATTTATTACACGATGCTCTTTAGGCTAGGATGACTTTTTTGTTCTCCTCACACTACTAATTACTAAAAATACCACAAGCGTTTGTTTTGTTTAATTTATCATTGACTTTAGCAGTCGCGATGGAGATGTACCTGCTGCGGGGATAGGCTTGCAAAAGAAGCTTCACCTACGAAGCGAGTGGGAAGGCATGCAGCGTTGTCCACAGCTGTCGCTCAGAAAGACGCTGCGTCCGGTTTCGCCAACATTCCCACAAGGCGAACAAGCAGCCCTTTAGGCCACTCGTCAACAAACACAGATTTATATGTGCAGGATGCAGTACAACGCAGAAATCACAGAACTGTGGACCGTTAGAGTAACTGCACAAGGCCGATTGACTACGCTTGCCTGTGGCACCACGGTCACCACACAAAGGGGAAACTGCTGAAGCGTGCAAAGGATAAGTCGAAGAACTAAAAGGCTGTTGAGGTCCATACTTCTTTCAGACTTAGCACCACCAGGGCAAAGCTGCGGAAAGCTTTTGTTCCTGGCATAACCATACGGGCGTGGTTACGTCGCAGCGAATTCCGGCGAGACAAGATTACATGAGCGTAATTTTTTCCCACATTGTAGGCCTACTAGAAGCGCCCCCTACTCGGTTCTCTAAAGGTCTCACGTAACATTAGGAATAATTTTATACTTAAGACCCCAGTATTACGAAAACAAAGGGAACTTTATTCTTGTATGATGTATATATAATATGTAACTTTTGGGGGCCTATTACTCCTGAGCAGGTGCAACATTTGTATGTAGCTCACTGAACGAAAGGTTACAAATGCAGTGTTTCTGAGGCTGCTGTAAAAGCGGGCCTGACATGCGAATTAGAAATCGTGTTAACCCGACGTAACGCCTGGATCATTGAAGCACATATGTAATATTTGTTGGTTTATATGAAGGTTAAATGCTCATCACTGCGTCCACACTGATTTCCCACCCACATTACGCATGCATAATATTTTTTCCACAGCAGTTTCAATACCGGGCGTGACTCTGGGGCAGAATTCCCTACTGCAACGCAAATCACTTGGGTACGATTTCTGCTGGGACTTCAATATTTATTCGTCACATTCGTCGAGTCAGCACTCCGATGTCGGTTTCTCCTAACGCAATCTTTTTTAAACTACTTCTCGACCTTGCTTAGTAGATATATATTGTCAACCACCTTCGCCGCAAAGCCCCATAGTATGGCAAGAAGTATGCGGGTATGTCCCTGTGTCAGGAAGAAATAGCTTTACGACGTGCGTCACATTATTTTTGTGATATTCACGCGATGACCGGGCATTCATATTTGTCGAACCCTTTTACCCTCCCGTAGAGATTTCACTCAACTCTACGATAAGGCAGCAATCACAGGAGCACCCAAACGTAGGTGACTAGTCAGACAGACAGACAGACATACAGACAGACAGACAGACAGACAGACAGACAGACAGACAGATTGATTGATTGATTGATTGATTGATTGATTGATTGATTGATATGCTAAAATTTTCTCGGTTTTACTAACGAATGCCTCGTATTTAAAAAAAATGTGCTGCTGCTCAAGAGCCACCTCAGTTAGAAGCCTCATTCTGGGGCCATGAAAATGTTTTGCAGCCAGCTTGAAAGGCTTTTTTATTACCGAGTAGTTCTTGATGGTGGACTGCCTTTCTTCGGCCGATGAAGTTACAGCCTCTGCTGTTGCTGCTGTAGCTGACCCCGGCCGTTGCCTCCCCAGTTGCCACCCCAATGACCTGGGTAGTAACCACCCCAGTAGCCTCCTGGGTTGTAACCGCCCCAATAGTCCCCTGGGTAGTAACCACCCCAGTAGCCTCCTGGATAGTAACCACCCCAATAGCCTCCTGGATAGTGGCCACCCCAGCCTCCCCAGGTTCCAACGTGGCTTCCTGCACTACCTGCAAGAATGTATGCAAACAACAAAGTTAGTTATGTTTGGCCTGCGTCACAACTGCTTTTCCCGGTGAAATAAAATGACCACCGTTTCACTCTAGTCTAACCATACGTGAATTTATGTAAACAGTGCAGAACAATAAAAAGAAAAATAACTCACGAGCTTGTTAGAGTAAACTGCAGATGAACATCGATTGTATGTATCTGTACCTTTTGGCATCCTGAACCTATTTTGTGCACTAAAACAGCATGCATAAGTGCACACATGCGCGACATCCTCAACATCCTCGACTCACCTCGTTACATTCCAGCGTTACTTCGTTTTATGTCACGCGAATAGGAATCATAGTGGATATATATATATATATATATATATATATATATATATATATATATATATATATATATATATATATATATATATATATATATATATATATATATATATATATATATATATATATATATATATATATATATATATATATATATATATATATATATATATCGTAATGGAAGAGACTCAGACACAGCACTTGTTTGCTTGCTGGGCCGACTATTCTTTAACTTCATCCTCGTCTTTTTTTCACTAGCCGAGCTCGCACTGCAGAGCAGCAGCGCCGACGCCGACCTTGCTTCAACACACACGACCACGCTGCGGCATTACAATGATTGCTGCGCATTCACTTCTAGAGACAGACATTGGTAGTTGCGCATCGGTCGGGCACGGCCATACAGCGACTTGGTTCGATTATGTGTAAACAATGCCTCGGGTGGTCGACCTTCCAAACGCTGCAACTTGAATGGATATTCTTGCAGGAATTTCCGCGAAAAGCGGCGTTGATTGTATCGTGGTGGTCGGACTTGTCTTTGCCATGACTTTTCTAGCCGAGCTGCTGCACATTTTGGGGGCCATCACAGGCTTCGTCGGGGTGGTCACGGCAACTCCTCGTTGCGCTGTGAATGAATGTCCTTGCCCCGCTTCCAAGGATTCTGGGGTGCGACGTTGGCTATGTGGCTGTGGTCGAACTCGGTCAAGTAGCGATGTCACGTCACCTGGCAACCACAGCTCTTGCAGCAGGCATTGTCTGAATCGCGGCGGAAATGGGGCACGTGTCACATCAAAATTGGAATGCTTGAACAGCGGCTGAGGGATGAACCGCATGCCCCGCTGCGGTGGTCTAGTGGCTAAGGTACTCGGGTACTGACCCGCAGGTCGCGGGTTCAAATCCCGGCTGCGGCGGCTGCATTTCCGATGGAGGCGGAAATGTTGTAGGCCCGTGTGCTCAGATTTGGGGGCATGTTAAAAAACCCCAGGTGGTCCCAATTTTCGGAGCCCTCCACTACGGCGTCTCTCATAATCAAATGGTGGTTCTGGGACGTTAAACCCCACAAATCAATCATGCAGGGATGAACCGCATCGGCACGTTTTTTTTTTCAGTGTCTTTCTCACGTATTTCTCAAATGCGGTTGATTTCGAATTGTGGTCACCATCAGAACAGTGATATTTCTTCACTTCATCGTCGTCCGACAGCTTTGAAAGCGCTCCTTGTGGCGCGTTCGGTGCGGGATTCATCGCGAGCGTCTTCAATAAAGATGGCATGTGAGCGTTTTGCTAAATTAGCCATGACGTAACATTACTGCGCTTGTCTCGGAGAACCTTCTAGCACAATGGTGTCGCATTGCAGACCATGTGCAGTGCCAGTGCAGCAGCGCCGACCTTGCTTTCTTACACTGTGCGTGTGCGTGTGTGTGTGCATGTGTGTGTATGTGTGCGTGCGTGTGCGTGTGTGCGTGTGTGCGTGTGCGTGTGCGTGTTTGTGTGTGTGTGTGTGTGTGTGTGTGTGTGCGTGTGTGTGCGTGTGTGTGTGTGTGTGTGTGTGTGTGTGTGTGTGTGTGTGTGTGTGTGTGTGTGTGTGTGTGGTGTGTGTGTGTGTGTGTGTGTGTGTGTGTGTGTGTGTGTGTGTGTGCGTAACGAGCCTCGTCTTTAGCTGCAGCTTGAGTTGCCGACATATTGTGGCATTCTTGTCTTGTGCCATGCTGGGCTGCTCCTGAACTGATTGATTGTACATATTTCAAATGTCTTGTGCGCGTATACATTTTGCTTTTGAATTAGAAACGTCTCATTTCTAGGTTAATTATTTTACCACCTTCAGTGTGTCTTCAAACTATAATAAAAATGTATTGCGTGGAATGTTCACTTTCCAAAAGTCAACTCGATGCTTTCCAAAAAGCAGACTTCTGTGGTGTATTATCCTCTTTCTGGTTTTTATTTAGTTGTGCAGCTGAATAATTATGAAGTAAAATTTTTCTTTTATTTCATCAACTGTAGTAACAAAAATATCTACGAATGTGGAATACGAGAGCCGATATTAGCTTGTGCACGTTAGCATGGCTTCGCGTTTGATAGGCTGCGATGCCACTGGGAAAATAAAGCGAGACATGCCGTTGCCACTGAACTGCCATCTTCATTCATATCTATTGTGGCTGTGTTCTGGTCAAGATAATTAAGTGCCGGTTCTAGCTCACATCAACTTATCAAAAGCGAGTTGAAAGTAATTCTCCAAATATTCCTGCCCAGACACGGTCAAAAGGATTTGTAATTTAATCTACAACCTCATCACTGCTTGCTTTATGTTCCTTTCGAAAGTGTGCATGTGCTTTCAAATGTTTTATTGCGATAGCATTTATATAGTGACTCTCGGTTGAATTTTCCGCCGGCATCGGCGTCGATGTCACGCACCATATATGTATACGTATCTATATATATGAAAACGCAATAAATAAAAAAATCTAGAAAAAAACGCTCCTGCGCGCGGAATCGAACGTGGCATCTCTGCGTCGTGGAGTGAGGCGCTTACCAATGAACCACCCTGCAGAACATTGTTCACCGTTCAAACTGCAAGCTATTTATACCTACCACCTACCGGTGCTGTGCTTTTGGCCTTACCAGAAAGATGGCGCAATGAGTGCACGTCGCTACATCGCGCAGCGGCGCCTGCTCTAACCTGCTACGTGTACTTGGCGCGGATGAGAGAAGGGGAGCGACACTCCCTCGCGCGCCCTTATTTCACGGTGGTGAGGACGGGATGATCGTGCGGCTTGGCTGGCCTCGGGCTTTACGCGGAACAATTCTGCTGTAGTTACCGGGCGCACACAGGTCACTGCAATCATTGCAGTCTCCGTTGGCGAGAAGCACACGCTTTTAAGACGCGGCGAAATAACGAATGAGGCGCTTACTCGTGTGCATCCGTACCTGTGAGTAGGTTTAGTAGGCAAGTTGTGCGCAAGAAACGCGGGGCAAGTTTCGATCTGCTTTCCATTCTGCGCGTGACCTTTCAAATTGTTGCTATCACACTCATTGCTTCGGTTTTGCGGCAAAGCTGTGAATTTTCTTTATTCTGTACTCATACTTGCCACTGTTTATTGGCGTCATGAGTTCGTGACTTCACTTAAGTCTGTCTGGCGGTTAAAATTTGCTAGGTTTTTTGTGCATTACTCCACTCTCCACTTGTTATGGCAGTATCTCTAAGCCAAAAAATACTTATATTCTTCACAACTTCTCGCAAATCGCAACCTTTTCAGATATATACATGCGGTTTTGCACAGTATTACCTCATATGAAACTATAAATGAAAAAAACTTCCCAACATCTTCAAATGAACGGTATTTTCATGCGATACTGTGCTTCACGTTTTTGAACGAGAACTATCTAGAAAGCTCGCCTAATATAGGGACTCCATTGACCTGTACCAAAAACCGACTCGAGCTGTAAATATGTATAAAAGCATTTTTTCTATCTTGAGAATTATTTTTATGCAGTATTAGCACTTGTTTATGTAAGCAGTCAACCAGTGATAAAGTTTCCCTGTGTGCTTCCGCAAACGTTTCAAGATAAAGTGCCATTTTCACAGCAAGTGAACAAAACTTTCGTCGTACAGGTATGCCAAGATAACGCGCTGCTTAGTGGCATCACAAGGTAAAAAATTCCGCCATATCCACGAAGTGAATGATGATGAGTTGGCGAACCTCCGGAGGTAAACCTGGTAAACCATGAATCCTCTGTACATTTTGCCCACTCGATTGTATTACATCGCTCCCCCTAGCGTACGTCGCCGCACTAAATCGACCGATTGCCTTCAACCAATGACACGCGCCATATGTGACATCATTCCTTTTTCATAAGATCTCGCGTCTTTCATCAACTACAAGTACCGCTTTCTAGTTTATAACATCTTGCATCTTTTCATAATCAGCTACAAGTACCACCATCTAGTAGACACTACAAGAACTAAACGAGAGGTGGCTACATACAGGAGACGGTACCGCCATCTAGTGAACACTGCAAGAACTAAACTAGAGGTGGCTACATACAGGGGACGGTACCGCCATCTAGTGAACACTGCAAGAACTAAACTAGAGGTGGCTACATACAGGGGACGCACAGCCCACGCCCTGAGGAGCTTCGCCCCTAAAATGGCACACTTATTCTGCCTCACAGAGCGTTGAAGAGTCGTCTGTAAATTGTTTTACACTTTTATCATTGAACATACATCTAAACGTGTGACTAGGTAATTACGCTCACCTACTGTGACCTGTGATGGTCTTGATGATGACGAACTCGATAGGCTCAGCTGGGAGGAGGCCATGGCGCAGGCCACCAGAGCGGCGAAGGTGCACAATACCAAGAGGCGGGCCATGGCTTCAGCTTCCGGCTAGGAGTAACTGGTGGAAGAAATGCAGACACCGATGTCTTTTATATACTGAAGTTGCCCCTCCATCTACCTACGACTAGACCACGTGAAGCTTTGGGAATTACCAAGAAAAAAGGGGTTACATTCGCATTGTTCAATTACTAATACTATAGCCTATTGTGTGAAAAGGAATAGTTTACACTTTTTTTAACAAAAAGGTTGACATCGCGAAGACAACGCAGAATCGAAAGCTTGTTTACGTTCTATGGGTAAAAATGGTCTTGCTAAGGCATCATTACAAATCAGAAAACGTGAATTCAATGTAATGGTAAAAGAACGATTGTTTTTTTCAATAACCAGTTCGGTCAACTTGTTTGTCGCAATCATAAATGAAGAAAAATAAGAAGTTACTAGACAATCTAATAGGGAAAAAAGATTAGTAAGAATTCTTGCATTGCCGATGTACTTGCTAGCGTTGCAAGTTAAACTAATATATCACAAATATATCAGCAGTGCCCTTGTTCATGTCCAGCAACTTACGCGCACACAGTAATTATGTGCCCACTTGAGAGGCGTTCCTGCTTCCGCTGTCACTGTCATGTTCCATATAAAGTCGAAGTCTATAACATCACACCGTGCGTCTTATGACTTAGGTGCACGTGAAAGCTAGTGAAGGCTCCAAACGGGTGCAGCTCAAGCAGAGATAGATTGCACCAACCGGTTTTCTCGGGTGAAGGAGCATGGAAGGTGGTGCTAGTGGGGGTGAGGGGAGGATTGCATCGCTCACGTAGGAACTGCGAGATCTGATCGAAACAGCTAGGTCGCACTCGTTATATCTTCAGACTCAAGTAGGTGGCTCATACTTTTGTGCATGATGTGTTTTCATCGATAAGTTTCCATCAAAACATGACATGAGGCAGCATGAAAACGCTTGACTTCAGCTCGCTCTGTCATGTGAGTATGCAAGCTTTGTTACATTGTTGTCGAGTTTCTTCGCCAGCACTGCAACCACAATAAACATTGCCTCGAGATTATGGCGTAGCGTGTTTTTTTTTTCGGCACTTTAGCCACCACCATGGCTTAGTTGGATGTTCGACTGCGCATAATGCGTGTTTGGGTGAAACAATGATTTCTCCAAATTTTTAAATCTATTGATATCATGTGCGACTGGGGTGTCTCAACGAAATCGCGTGAGCTTTCCCAAAGTCTATTTGTGACGTTGCTGGGAGGTCACAAACTCAAAATCACACGTGTCGCAAAGCACCATTCTTCGGCAGTTGTAGGCGGGTATGTGTCGCATACGACTAAAATGAAAAAGTTTAATTACGTACGCGACAAGCACGCCAAGGTCTACTTTTTGTGAACAGGTAATTATGCTCCTCGTGGGCTAATGTCCTTCGAAGGTAATATAGCCTTATACCAACTTAAGAAGACGATCGACAGGACAACCAGGCGTAGGCACACGGACAGACAGACAGACAGACAGACAGACAGACAGACAGACAGACAGACAGACAGATAGATAGATAGATAGATAGATAGATAGATAGATAGATAGATAGATAGATAGATAGATAGATAGATAGATAGATAGATAGATAGATAGATAGATAGATAGATAGATAGATAGATAGATAGATAGATAGATAGATAGATAGATAGATAGATAGATAGATAGATAGATAGATAGATAGATAGATAGATAGATAGATAGATAGATAGATAGATAGATAGATAGATAGATAGATAGATAGATAGATAGATAGATAGATAGATAGATAGATAGATAGATAGATAGATAGATAGATAGATAGATAGATAGATAGATAGATAGATAGATAGATAGATAGATAGATAGATAGATAGATAGATAGATAGATAGATAGATAGATAGATAGATAGATAGATAGATAGATAGATAGATAGATAGATAGATAGATAGATAGATAGATACCAAAAGTGCTTGCAGTACGCTAAAAAATGCTTCACCTTTAATATCTGAAATAGTGGCCCCAGAGTGTATCTGGAAATTATTTCTGTTGGTGCAATAAGTGTGTAGGTGACAGTAGGTTGTAATGTAAAAATACTACCTGCTGAGAACTCACTTTTTAGAGTATATTGTCAGGTTAAGCGGAAATTTCACTTTCGCGCAAGAGTTTTGCCTTCAATTTTGTTTTGTGTACGTGAAGTCACTAAAATAGAACTGCTGATATTCTTTTAAGACACTTTGATTGTGGGGTGTTCAGTTTATCGCTGTTACAGTAAATTTCATTTAAAGCCGAATCATTGGCTCACATTTACTAGGAACCACAGTGGGATAGCCGTTCCTTTCACATGCATTTGTGCAGGCTTCATTGTACACATGCTTACTAAACATAATTTAGCATCCACAGAGCCCATACACCTGAAACCAGTGGTGTTGCTCGTGATTTCATCTATACAAAGCTTACACCAGCGTCATTCAAGCAGCCGTAATTCAATTCGAAAACTTCGCAAACATGGGATCTTGACGTTATGACAGTGCTATTACTACATTCTACACAGGTTTTAACATTGTTCAGAATCCGTCATCCGTAATGCTTGGGCCATGTCTTTCTTACGACGATGAGGTCAAGTGCTTCAGTGAATATACGGCACTGACGTGAATGTAGTCATGGTTTCAATGGCACTGATGCGCCAGAAAGCTGCGTCCACAGCGCATTTCGCCAGCTCTATTATTACTCTGCTTTATACATGCCGGTTGCGTATAATTGATTGATTAATTGATTAATTTGAGGGGTTTAACGACCCAAAGCGACCATATGAATATGAGAGACGCCGTAGTCAAGGGCTCTGGAAATTTTGACTACCTGGGCTTCTTTAACGTGCACTCAAATTTCAGCACACAGGCCTGCGGCGTTTTAGCCTCCGTCTAAAACGCAGCCGCCGCAGCCGGGATTCATTCCCGCAACCTGCGGGACAGCAGCCGAGTGTCTTAGCCACTAAGCCACCACGGCGGAGAAGGCGCGTTCAATAAGATTAGGGAAATTTAATTTGCAGCTAACGCAAGATACTTGGCGCGTATTCTTTACAATATGTAATGAAGATAAAAAACGGCGCTGAAAAGCCGAGAAAAGGAAATACTGTGCTTAGCAGCTGCGAGCATAACAAAAATAGGTTCGGAATGAACACCTGCGCGACTACGTACCAACAATGTATAGCCGCAGTGTTCCAGACTGCTATTCCGCCATCAAAGGCATTACCACCCAATTGCTGCCTGCACTCAAACACCAAAACATTGGGCGAGTCGTGATTAGTGCGTGATGGGGTGTGAATAATTAGTGTACAGTTTACGCGAAAACGTGTCACATTAATTTGGACCATGCAGCCGATTCGTTTTTCTTGTGACGGACAACTTACTGCTCAAGCACCTCGCAACACGCTCTAGCTTGTCCATATGATCAGGCCCGTGTTGTACCATGGTATGGGTTGTGCGACATTAAAGCGTTGGACCAGTTCGACTCATCGGTAGCTGAGTTGTTGAAACATCCACAGAAAAGGTCATGGCACTATGAAAACGTATTCGCACTCCTTTCTATAATCGCATATATGACTCTTTTTAAAGACACGCGTCATCATTGTATTCTCCTCATGGGGTCATGTGGCCTAAACGAGAGTAACCGCCCGTGTTTAAAGTCAACCGTGTAGATAGCAAAGCAGGGCCTAGCAACACGAGTGACACATACCTTTCTCTTACAGTGAAGCCATTGCATTCGCCAACGCAAAATTTGTTCCTCCTTATCCGTTCATTTACGTTCCAATCTCGTTTTAGATGTTTCACTTATAATCAAATCAAATGATCCATCATTACTCATTTATATCCGACTGAATATCAATTCGCAAGAGCCCCCACATTGCGTGCTTTTTCTTGCTTCAGTGGAATACAATCGAAGTTCAAAGGTGCAAACCTCAGTACACTAGTATACTTATACCTAAGTACACCATTTCTAAACTCTCAATCAAGTTCTGCCTAAATACCGGCTATATTAAACCATAAGGAGAATGTCTGGGTTCTTGTAAATTGCTAGTATTTTGAGCAAGACCCCATTAAGAGTGTACTGTGATTATATGCTACTCGTTGTTTCACTCAAAATGATAATAATGAACATTCTGAAAGGACAATTAATAAAGCTGAAAATATTTGACCGTTGGTACATGTAAAACCGGCATTATATTATTCGAAAGATAATTTTATCATATAAACGCCCGCACTTGTTCTGTGTTTTTCCGTAGTGCTACGTCATAACGTTTAGATATTTTGTATAGCCAAATTTATCGCCGCCAAGTCACCAAACATGCATGCCATGCGCACAATGAGGATCAGCAAAACGAGCAGGGTAGGAAGCAAATGAGGTCAGAGTGTTCAAAGATTTACAAAAAAAGGAAAGTGTTGGTCACAGGGAGGTAACGCACTCGACCGGAGAAGCTCTAACACAAAGCGATCTATCGAGACCTAAGAAGCAAGCAATAAAAAGAAAACAGCGACGACACTAAGTACGCAGTATGCATAGGAAGCATTGTTAGAAAATGTTTGAGGTGCGTTGTCTAAGGAAATAACACTACAGGGCAACGTATGCGCGCTATTGTGTAAATCCTGAAGAATCGTATTGTTTCCCTTAGCGCAACGCCACGTAAGCAAAAGTAATGCGCATGAACTCTATACTAGGTCACCTCAAGATAAAGGCAGAGGTGAAAAAGATTCGTAGAAGGTTCATACATTGGTATATTGTTTACTTTTCCATGTTTGAAAAATGTGAACAACGTAGATTAAAAATACAGTTCGATGAAAGTAAAACTCTCACGTCACTATATTACGTTCGAAAAGTATTGAAATTGGTTTGAAATTCTGTGAAGTTGTGATTCATGTAAAAGTCTTGCACGCTTTACTTAGAGCACGTACATATTGATGCTTGAGAGAGCTGTTCAACTTCCCACTTTTCAGGTGTGGCCCTCAGATTAACCTGTTACATTTTAAGACTACGAAATACATGTAGTAGTTGATTCAAAAAATAACAGG